AATATTGTACCACTGAGTTTTGGCAGGTTTTACGAGCCAAGCGTTATTCAAAAAAACATGCGGTTTTTAGGGTGCTCTTCGTATTTTGACTTTTTTATTCGAACTGTACGAGATAGAAAGAAGCCAAAAAAAGTAGCCACCCTAAGATGTCTCTACCATCTGTAGAATAAAAATTCAGCCCGATCGGATTTACTGTGCCTGAGAAACGGGGGCGATTTGGGGGTCGATTTTTAGCCATTGTAACCCCAATATCGCCTAGAAAGAAACATTCTGGAATTTTGAGTCCATAGCAACTTTTACTCTATCCATCGAGATCTATTAGCTGTGAAAGTTTCAAATTTTTCTGATGAGCCGTTCTCGAGAAAGCCCGGAAAGGAGGGAAGATCTCCCCTTAAGACATTAAATCTCAATGCTTTTAAAACTATGAAAAATGGTTTGTTACAAAGGTAAAAAAGAGGAATTCTTTCATATCTTGGCTATGTATTTGTTTTAATGCTTTTAAATGGGATATAAATTTTGAGTAATTATATAGCTGTGATTGGAAAAAGTTTGAGTCAAACAGATGCAATCCTTTCGAGTTATTAAAGTTTTTAATGACGTTGAAATTGGCGCCAAGTACGATTTCGTACGTAATTTTTCTTCCACCATTTATGAACTCAATATAATGTACTTTGTCTAATGTTGCATACATATTCTTGTAGGGCTTTAAAAATTTCATATTTTGCACATCTATAAAAGTTTTGTTAAAAGTTCTGGAATCCAATGATTTTGCTTTCAACACTGATTACTCGCTGTTCTTGATAAGCAGTAAAAGAGAAAAATCGATTTTCCGAAAATCTAGATTCCATAACCTATAATGCGAGTTTAAACAAGAAAAAGCGCGAGAATATATTCACCTTGATCACAAGTAGAGTTCCGTGGAACAAATCGAATTCAGAATACTATGAAAAAACCAATGTCCCGAATTTTTAAAATCTGCATATCAGAATACGCAGGACATTGTAATTTCTTATTTCTATCGAATGTTTTTATATTTAAATGAATAACACAAAATAAAACCACAGAAATAAAATACCACAATATGCCTTTAAATCTGCTTATTGTCATTTTTTATCGACTGTTACACTCTACTGCATGTTAAGTTCATCATCTCATGTTAATAAGTCTTTTGTGCACATTAGTTAGGGTGAGAATGAAGTCGAAAGTGTGCTTAAACTGCAGTTATATATCAAACTCATCTCTTTTTCTTCCATACTTCTACAATAGGCATGTAAATTTCTTTAGTCTTCGAACATTTATTTGATAATTAGCCAATTATTAATTACATCTACACTCAGATGTGTTTGTCATATGGTATTGGGCTGCCAATAATAGGCAGTACCGTTCAAAATTATTCATACACTCAAAGAAAATAATGCAACTGTTATATCTCGGCTGGGACTCAACTATTTAGGTTGCAGTTGTCTCCAAAATGCATAACAATAAGTATAGTCTACTTATAAAACGTTTCAGCTTGATCTATCATTAAAAATTTATTGTAGGTAAAAAAAAGAAAAATCATATGTTTCTATTTGGCCAAAAATTATTCATATAGCTAGTAGAAAGTAAATATAAATAAATACAATTCATGGTTGTATATTTCACCTATTTCATGATAACAACATCTGAAAACGAAGCATTTCATCAAATATTGCGTGTTCTGCGTTAGAAATATTTTCGATGTTGAAAATAGTAATATTAGTAAAACCTAAAAACCGTTAATGTTGAGCTAAATTGAAACACATGATTTTTCTTTTTTTGCCTACAGCAAAATTTTAACTATGGATCGAAGTAAAACTTTATACAAATAAGCTAAACTTACAGCTATACATTTTAAAGAGAATTGCAGCCAAAATGCTTGAATTCTAGCGGAGATATAACAGTTGCATTATTTTCTTCAAGTGTATGAATAACTTAAAATGTCATAATATACCAGAAAGTACCTAATGTGTTTTATAATAATCCATATGAATACATTTTTTCTATTGATGGTATAAAACAGACATATTCTTTTTTGATAAAATGATATCTTTCTCAGTAAACGGAATTCGAGACTCGAAAAAATTTATCCCGTAGGACTCTTGTAACAAGCCATTTTTAGTAGTTTTAAAAACATTAAAATTTGTGTCTTAAACTACGTCCTAAATGCTATTCTGAATATGCATTTCAAAATATATACTTTGCTCTATCTATAAGTGAAAAAGTTAAGCTTCCAGCATTTTCCGTTCGAACACAACAGAGCTTGATATTTGTACAGATATTTATGCATCATAATTTAGTATCAAAAAACGTATTTTCTAATTGCACTGATGAAAGAATTCGAATATGTTGGTCTTTTCGAGAAAATAAAATGTCCAAAATCTATACCTCATATTATCTTGTCACTTCTATTCATTGTTTAGTACAAAATTCTTGAATGTTTTTTCAACAAACAGCATGTTTCGATAAGAATATTCTTTTTGTTCATGCTTTTTTCGATTTTTTCCAATTGGAGAAGTATTGGAAGGTTGTTAGAAGTTTTTTCTATCACTTATTTTCACGCTATTTCAATATGATCTTATAGGTTCCTGGAGTATTCCCTAGGGGTTTTAAAAAAAATTTTTAAAATCTCTTCAAAACTATATATACTAGACGTGGTTTTTCATAGTGATCGCGAATATCGTATTTAAAGTCTAAAACGATCAGGTTTTAATAGAGAATAATACATACCACTAATAAATTGATCATTCAGTAGTTTTTCCTCGCATAACTCTTTTTTTATGTAGAAAATATACCTAAACATTAGGTTTATTTTCTAAAATATAAAATATTTGAACAAGGGTATCATATATACAGCTCGACGCACTTTTTCATGTACTATTCGAATATCAATTCAAACTAGCAAAAAAAATGTTCATCAGGTTTCAAGACACCTTCTGAAAAATCGACCTCAGAACTTTAGAGAATTAAGACTTTTCAGCAACTCCATTATGTTCGACATATTTTAAAACTTCTAGCCTTATGTCGATCCTATCAATTGATATTCACAATGTTCTAATAGATTGACCAGAAAGCCAACTTTTATCTTAGATTGAAGCAGCTAGTATTTTGCATGATAGAGTCAGATAAAAGCTGTGACATATGGTGAACACAATGGCATTGCTAAAAAGCCTAGATTCTCTAAGATTCCAAGACTGGTTTTGTATAGAGCCTCTGCAAATCAGATATACATCATTTTTTTGTGCTGATTGGAATTGCAATTCGGATAGAGCATGAAAGAACTGCATCTAGTTTCCTGTATGGCTTTTTGACACGAAGACATTTTCTAGTACTAAAAGTTGCTTGGATTTGGTAGAAAAATAATTCTGCTAACATCTTTCCATGGTTTTTTATGTAAAAAAGTGTGGTACAGCAAAAACCTACTCTATGATCAATTTATCAGTAATATGCACTTTTTGCTATGAAAACTCAAGTTTTTTTCGATTTTAAACACCATATTCGTTATCATCGTGAAAAATGGTGTTTAGTGTACAAAGTTTTGAAGAATTTGGAAATCCTGAGAGGTACCACAGAAACCAATAAGGTCATATCAAAATAGCACGAAACTAAATAGTGAAAATAACTTCTAACAACCCTCTCATATGTTTTCAAACGAAAAAAGTCGAAAACAGCATGGGCAAAAAACTATTCATATTGGAACATGTATTTCTAATGAGCAGAATGAAAATTAGAAACAACATGTTAATCAACTGAAGAGCAAAAAAACGTCATGTGTTTCCAATATTCAAAATTTATTTTCTTCAATAATACACTGCCTGTTTGAAATTACAAGTCTGTTTGTTTAATGAAAAAGTATTGGAAGATATATTTCTAATGTCTAATTGAAATATCTTTTAAAATTACGTTCATATCTCTACAATTTCTATTAAATCTTTTGTGATAAGAATTCTTCAATTAAATAGCCATTTGTTTATACTCATTTAATACAATTTCATGTTCGGTTGATTTTGTGTTTAAGAACTTTTTTTTATTATTATATTAAAAGGGATTATTTTATTTATTTTGATTAAAAATATTGGTTATCTAAAATTTTAGTTGAAAGTAAAAACGTCAGAGGATGGGTTGTGGCTGTGTGAGTATGAAGAGTAGAGCAACACCCATACCTATACCGCAGGGAAGTTCACAGAGAGAAGACTGAAGAAATCGATCCGTCCTCTCTCAAGAAAAAGTTGGACTATCAATTTACGATGTTTGTGTTTGTACCGACATTTATGTCAAATAATCAATGTGAACTGTGAGTTGATGCTGACACTTCGTTTGTTATAATTAATGTCAAATATAGGTATGATGCATATAATTGCAAGTATTCTCTTCCACTTTATGACTCACATATAATAGTATTAACGTAATATTTTTTTAGTAAACATTTATCAAAAATCATGAGTAAAAAACAGAATGATATTGGTACCTATTTCGTATCGAATAAGAGGGTGAATGAACAATAAACAACCACATCCACATCCTCAAGTCTTCAATGTTAGAAGACCAAAAAAAAAATATCAGTTTATAAATTCGAAATGTAAAACGCATGATTAAAAGAAAAACTACGATTCACTCCGAAAGCCTGGAGAAACAAAATATATCATATTGGATATGTTTGAATTCAAAACAAGATCCAAATAATGAAATTTTAAGATTTAAAAATAATATTTCGATGCTTCCTTTAAAAGACTTATAGACATATATGATCATCAATCTTATCAAAAATTCATGTTTGCTTGCACAAACTTTGCATGAAATCCAATCTTTTTTTTTGTTCTCTCACTTCACATTAGAAATTTTTATGGTGATTCATCTTGTTTCGATCCATATTGACACAAGAAGGTGAAGTTATACTGCCTTCTTTTCGTTCTCATTTGCTACTATTTTCATTAGTCAACACACGCACACACACACACAATCATCAGAGGTGTATTTAGCACATGGCAACGGCAATAACTGAAAGAAATCTATGTGATACATGCGGTAAAGCTAAAGGAATTTCTAAGTGTGAAGGATGTGCAAAAATTTTCTGTTACAATCATTTTGGAGATCATCGTCAAGAATTAAATAAACAATTAGATGAAGTTGAAGTTATTCGTGACCTCTATCGACAAACATTTACTGAACAAACAGCAGATCTACAAAGAGATAAATTGGTACAACAAATTAATGACTGGGAAAGTGATTCGATAAAAAAAATTCAAGAAACAGCAGAAGAAGCTAGACAAATATTATTTAGACATACAAATGAACATATTAAACAAATAGAAGTTAAATTAAATAAGTTAACTGATCAATTAAGACAAAGTCGTCAAGAAAATGATTTTGTTGAAACAGATCTACATCAATGGAAAGAACAAGTTGCACAATTAAATAGAGAACTTACAAATCCATCAAGTATTATACTTCGACAAGATTTAGAACCATTTATCACTAAAATTTATGTTGAGATATCAACCAGTGAGTATATTTGCTATATTGAAAACGATGGAACCATAGCGAAATATCCTCATTTTAAGATTATGTTTGAGCAATAGTTGTATCTTATGGATTCAAACTCTGAGTAGTACTTAATCGTTACAGAAAATTATATCGAAAGAAATACAAAACTGAAAGAGAATTCTTCTGCAAAAACGTAGTTCAAACCAGTCTTAGTTATAAAAACTATAATAGATAAGAGTAAAAGGATGAAAAGATCTTACTAAACAAAGTAATTCCCATGCGTCAAACTCTTGAAAACGAACAAGTCATAGCATAGCTTGATTATTTATAGAGTACATATACATGAATGTTTTCGGCCAGGTTTGTGTGGAGGTTGACAATAGTGGCGCCGGAAAATACTAAGAAAAAGACTACGTGAATAACAGGAAAGAAAATGGCAACATTGAAAAATTCCAATATATGTAAAAATAGTACTAAAGGGAAATTTCTATGTCGAATGCCACAACATTATATATTTGTATTGTAAAATTAAATCGATACTAAAAAAAACCGAAGTGAAAGAAAGAAAAGTACACTTCTCGACAGGTTTAATCAAAACATCAGCATCTATAAAAAGAAAAACATTTTTCGTAAGTCAAAGATCATTCATTTCTGTTGAATTTCTGCGAACAGAACTCATTGATTCTAAATAGAAAAAGATAGTTTTTTTACTCTAATAACTACATAGATATTGATCGGAAAAAAATCGATCAAAATTTATTATCACTAAAAATTTTCATTACATTGTAGTACCATTGGATTTTACTAATATTGGGATCAATACAAGATGGATCCAACATGGTATTACAATAGCTGGAGGTAACGGAAAGGGTAATTTATTAAATCAACTCTGTTATTCATGGGATATATATGTTACCGATAATCAAACTGTCTATGTCGCTGACAGCTCGAATCATCGTATTGTGGAATGGAAATGTGATGCAACGAATGGTCAAATTATTGCAGGTGGACATGGACCAGGAAATCGAACTGATCAGTTGAATGATCCAAGAAGTGTGATTTTCGATAGAAAAACCGACTGTCTTATAATAGGCGATAATGGAAATCGACGAGTTTTACGATGGCCTCGTCAAAATGGCACAAATGGACAAATAATCATTTCAAATATTGACTGCTCCCGCTTGACAATGGATAACGATGGATATCTCTATGTTTCTGACAATAGTAAACATGAAGTAAGACGATGGCAAATAGGTGAAACGGATGGAACATTAGTAGCAGGTGGTAATGGACTTGGTCATAATCTTAATCAACTCAATTGTCCCAATCACATATTCATTGATCATGAACATTCAGTATATGTGTCAGATAGCGACAATCATCGTGTAATGAAGTGGATGAAAGATGCAAAAGAAGGCATTGTTGTTGCTGGTGATCAAGGTAAAGGGACTGATCTGACACAACTATCATATCCTCGTGGAGTAATCGTCGATCATTTGGGCACTGTTTATGTGTCAGATTATGGCAATCATCGAGTAGTGCGTTGGTTCAAAGGAGCAAGACAAGGTAGTATTGTAGTTGGTGGAAATGAAAAGGGAAACCAATTGAATCAACTTAACCATCCTACAGGTTTGTCATTCGATCGACAAGGACATCTTTACGTTTCCGATTATCACAACTATCGAGTACAAAAATTCAATATTGATTCCAATTCGAGTTCATAGTGATATAACGGAACGTTAATGAACTATTGCGTTTCTTGTTAATCTTTTTTTTTTGCTACATATCTTCAGCTACTTTCGATGTACTGGAAATGTCATATCAATGAAGTTGTGTAATTTGATTTGACTGAATGATGAAAATTTTTCTTCAACTTCTCATAAGAATAATAAATAGTACATAGTACTCTGTGACATCAATATTGAAATATAAGATTGTTTCTTTATATTTATTAATTAATCATCGAATACTTTATCTTGTACTACGTTTACGCACTACTGTGATGATTGATAATAAAGACTCACTTGAAATGTAAACATGATTCAATAAAATATACCTACTTTTTCAAGATAGTTTTTTTTAGTGAAACTTGAGATACACCAAATTCAAGTTGTTCAGATTTCATAAAATCGAGTTTGTTTTGAAGTTCAGTAATTATTAATTGAATATTCATAAAATAATTGTTAAAAAAAATACATGTATCTATCGAAATAGTACATTGTACAGATTAGAACATTGTTAATTATTAAAATGATCCAAACATTCATAAAAAATCGATTTTGATCAATAAAAAGAAACTGACTTTATCGAAATTTTTATAAAATGAATCTTTCAAATAGGGTGTGGGTGTGGGTGTGGATGTGGGTGTGGGTAGGTGTGGGTGAGTGTAGATGTGGGTGGGTGTAGGTGTGGGTGAGTGCAGGTGTGGACAAGTGTGGGTGAGTGTGAATGTGGTTTTTCTATTAACTCCCACACCCGCACCCTTGCCACAAACACACCCACCCACTCACAAACTATTTACTTTTTTATATGACCCTCCCCAGGTCGAACTCACCCCATCGGATCCGATGGGAATTCGTCGGAAGTTGTCGGAATCCTTGGTATCGGATTCCGACAGGAAGTTGTCGGAT